TGTGTGTGTGTGTGTGTGTGTGTGTGTTTCATCATCTTTATGGGAAAACGCATATTCTGCTGATTCAGAAGTGTGCAGTTTGCTGTATTTGATTGCTCGAGGTCTGACAGAGAGAAACTGAGATCTGTGGACCCAGTTAAGACTTTTACAAGCACAAAGTGTTCTGGGTGTTGGGTCTGTATGTATCCTAATATGCAATGCACATGAAATATGTTTTTAATTTTTTTCTGCTCAAAATGTTTGGGTAGCACGAAAGTTTCATATTATGGCCCATGGATATATTCATCAAAAGTTACTCTAAATCATGTCATATAGACACAGACGCGATTTTTGTACTCAAAATAACATTTTTGTCTTGTTAGCTTTCCTCGAATCATCTTCCTTGCAGAATTTTGGCATTCTAGCTGTCAGATCTGTTCCAAACGGGAACGTGTCGACGGTTACTGTTTCCTTTCAGAGTCATTGTTAGAAGGCAGAGTCAAAGCTGCCTGTGCTGGGTTTTTTTCATTCTCATTCAGCTTCAAGGACACGTACCGGGGCTGTCTGTCTCACTCTGACGGTCCACTCAGTCACTCCCCTTCTCCTCTTCTGTCCTCTGTCATTTTAGAAAAGTGTGTCCCGTGAAGGACAAAAATCTTTAAAAACTGTAATCAGGTTATGTTGATGTATCTTTCAAAGCATGCTCTCCTTCCTCTGTTCGGAACTAAAAGGATGTAAATAAAACGCTGACCCTGAACTTCTTAATCCCTATGATGTGATTGTCTGTCTGTGATTTCAGCATGTACTGCTGGGCTTCAAGTTCATTCTGACCTTCCTCATCCAAGATGTTCCCAAACACATCCAGGACAAACTGGCCCGTCTGGAGTTTGAATCATTGGAGGCCCTCAAGAAGAAGGTAAAGTCTGACTCTGCTCTTACTTTCTTTACTTTGTTACCACTCAGCAAGTTGCTACCTGTCCTCTGACATTGGTTGACAACAATAAAAGGCTGATGGGGCAATGTCAGAACCAGTGTTGGTCAAGTTACTTGAAAAAAGCTTCCCCCTAAAAGTAATCCTTTAACTTTACCAATTACTTATTTTTGAGAGTAATTAGTTACTTAGTTACATGATTTACAACCTGAATAGGTGATAAAGCAATAGATCTTTCAGCCCAATTCTACTTTTTCTGAATAATCCATCATATAAAATGTAATCAAATGGAAAAGTCTCTTTTTAAAACTTGTTTTATTAGTTTTAATCTTTTAACTTTATGCATCAAGCAAA